GTGAGCCATCTTTCTTTTTGACAAAGAAAAAACCTGCCCCAGCAGGTGAGGCAGACGGTCGGATAATGCCCGACCTTAATGAGTCCTGGATGTACTCCTTCATAGAGAGTTGTTTGGGAGCGGAGAGAGAGTATAACGCACACCTAGGAGGAGTGGAGCCTGGGAGTAAATCTATTCCACAGTCATAGGGACGGTGTGGAGGCAGTGAGGTAGCTTTAGTCTTATTAAACACCTCTTTAAGTTCATGATACTCTTTAGGTACTTTGGAAATGTCTGGATAAAAATTTTCATGCAGGGTAACAGTCTCGATAGGAACGACAGCATCAAATAAACAAGTGGTCAAACACTCCTCTGACCACCCTAAAATCTCCCTCCTCCTCCAGTCAAGATGAGGGTTGTGTTTGGTTAACCATGTGGATCCCAACACGATCGGAGCCTGGGGAGATTTAATAACCACAAAGGTTAGTTTCTCTTTGTGGTTAGCACCGAGACATAAGACCACCGGTTCAGTAATTAAAGATGATGAGTTCAGAGGATGGCCATCGAGAGCCACCACAGAAAGTTCATGAGCAGATTTGTAGATCTTTATTCTCACCGATTTAGCAAAGTCGAAGTCTATGAATTCAGTATCTGCACCGGAGTCAATAAACACCTTAACCAGTGATCGAGATTTGTCTGGTGTAATAAGGTGAGCAGAAACAATAAATTGTGAGGAGAGTTCTTTGGGGTTTGTTCGGCTCAGTAGACATCTCCTCTCGTCTACTGAGCGACCCCTTTTACCGGACAGTTGGTGACGAGGTGTCCTGGCTCTCCACAGTAGAAGCAAAGATGTCCCTTGCATCTCCTCTCGCGTTCAGCCTGCGTGAGTCAGCTCCTGCCCAACTGCATAGGTTCCTCTGCAGGTTTTGGAGGAGAAACAGGAGTATGGTGAGTGGGTCGTGGTTGAAACTGAAACTCACCAACATGTTTAGAGACTGGTGATGTCTTAAGTCCTCTCTCTCTTGCTCATTCGGCCAGTCTTAAATCCACCCTGGTGGATAAGTCTTCAAGGTCCTGCAGAGAATCTGGGTAACGTTTAGTTGCCAAACCATCTTTGATGTCGTCGTTCAAACCTTTGTAGAACGCGTCAGTAAGGGCCTCCTCGTTCCAGTGGCTGCCAGACGCTATGGAGTGAAACTCATTGATATAGTCTGTAACTCTCCTGTTACCTTGCTTTATGGAGAATAGTCGTCTGTCAGCCTCACGCTCTGGGAGGACTGGGTCAATCACCCTGCAGAGTTCCTTAGTAAATGCCTGGAGAGAGTAAATGTTAGGAGAGTCCCTCTGCCATTCAGCAGATCCCCACTTCTTAGCCTTGCCTGAAAGTAAAAAAATAATGTACGCCACTTTAGCTTTATCTGAAGGAAAAGAAGACGGTTGAAGCTCAAAGTGGATCTCACACTGAGTGATAAATGGACGACACTGGTCCGGTTCCCCTGTAAAAAGTTCAGGTGGGGTCAATCTTGGCTCCCTGATGGGTTCGGAGTGGGGTCTAACCACCACTGAGTCCTGAATGGAAGTCTGAGGGGTTAAGTTCTTAAGCATGCGGACCATATCCTCCATGCCAGACTCCAACTTCATAATAGCTCCTTCTACTCCGGAGCGCCAATCTGCTGGTGGTGAGTGGTCCATCATGGCCCGGTAGTTCTGTAACGAACCCCTTTTAGTTTGGACCAAAATCACCACACAAATGAAGAGAAAAAAATAATATTTATTTTCTAGGAGAGATATTGCAGATTGGACCGGTTCTGCTGCTGGTTCTGGTTTGGGTTCGGGTTCTGGTACTGGTTCCGGATCAGGGACAAGTCTATGAGATAGAGATCAGTTAGTGGTCGTGCAGGAGATTATGGGGAGCAGAAAAGTCAAATAAGAAGGACCACTAACTGTCTCAGATGATCCTGGGGGTTCTGGAGAGTAACGAAGTCCAAACTGATCCGGACCATTGCAGGAGAGGCTGAGTCCGGTGAGGGACTGCAGCTGGCCGCAGCGACAGGTGGGTGGTGAGTCCGTTGAGCGCAGAGACGTAGTCACACAAGCCTGGGTCCAAAACCGGAGAGCAGAAGACGGGAGGTATCAGAGGAGAAGACGAGGAGGCATAGTCGTGCAGGCAAAGGTCAGAACCGAAGACAGAAGACGTGGTAATCCAATGGGTCGAGCGAAAAACGATGTCCAGGTAAGTCGTGGGTTCAGGAGCCGGGAGGTCAAGCCAAGAGGGAAGGACATGAACCAGGAGAGGGACAGGAATGAGGAGACAGGTAAACTATGACAAGGGGACATGAAAGGCTAAGGGGGAACAAGGCAGGATGAGTAACGCGAGGTATCTACTTACAGTGAACTGTTTTCAACTACCGGGCACCGAAGAAGAGAAAGAGTGCAGCTTTTAAAGGGTGAGAGAGACAGGTGCAGCCAGTTGAGTTCAATCAGCTGCTGCTGTCTGCAGTGAAGACAAAACTAAACAACCGTGACATCACCCTCAACCAGCACACAAAGAAGACAAACTAAACCTCACGTATATATAAACAAACATTACCTGAGTGGACAGAATGAATGAAACTTACAGAAAAGACCTATTGCAAACTTTAAAGGGTGATCAGGTTGACAGAAAATATAATCTATGGAACGTGATTCGTGACATACTGTTAAAGTGTTTAGGTGTGAATTGTCAATCTACATATGTGTGTGTCTTATCTCACTCAGCCTTACACCCTAAACCCCTCACTCACTGCTGTTTGAATTGCGAAAGCTCCTCGGATGAGAAGCAAAACATCTTCTGTTACAAATAAAGTCCAGTTGTTTTTGTATTGAACACTTTTTGAATTCATCATGTCCTGGATGACTGAGAATCTTCACCAGCATAACAGTCCTTACCTGCAGGAGCTGCAGCCCATTTCTGTCCGACAACACTGTCAGAGTTTTGCAGTACGAACACTTTGCAGTCATAGAGATTTCTTGACAAATCATCAAGAAAAGAAAGGTTAAACATTTTGAGTGGAGAACGTGATTCAGACAGTGTTACCCTGAGTGTTTAGAATACACTTGGTTGATTCATTTTTCAATCCTAAACTGAGTGTGTAAAAATGTAAAAGATGATAAAGGCTGGTGGCTGACCTCATGAGCAGCTGAATACAACATTGATGAACAGGAAGTAGCACACATTCGTCTGTATGAAGGTAACTGCAGGTAAATCCATTTTCTGTCATAAATACATTGAATGCTTAATGGTTAAATTCAAGCTACAGTAGCTGTGCTTTGTTTTGTGTGTTTAATATGCAGATATATGTTGCAACTTGTGGTTGCATAAGTTTAGTCTTTGTTTGTTGTGACCCTTTAAAAGACCTGTTTGTGACTGAGCTCCTCATTTACGGCCCTGAACACGCCCGATCCCATCTGATCTCAGAAGCTAATCAGGGTCAGGCCTGGTTGTATTTGGATGGGAGAGCGCCTGGTAATACCAGGTGCTGTACATTTTTACACTTCTCACAATCCTCCATGGGGTGTGCTGTTCAAGCCAAGAGCATCGTCAGTACTGGGGGCTAAGTACCCCTAAAGATCAGATCCTAGAATCACCCCTGCCCAACCTCTGCTTTGCTCCTGTTTAGTATAACCTGTTTAGTATATGTAATTATTTTTTCTATCCTTAACATGTGTTTTTTTTTGTCTTTCAGGTACACCTGGACCTATATCTGGACTTGGACCTATACCTGGACCTGGACCTATATCTGGACCTACCATTCTATGTTCGTCTGTCTCTCCTTCCTGTCCTCTCAAACCAGCCGGTCAAAGCAGATGGCCTCTTGTCCTGAGCTGGTTCTGCTGGAGGTTTCTTCCTGTTAAAGGGAGTTTTTCTTTCCACTGTCTCCACTGTGCTTGCTCAGGATGGGAGACTGCAACGAAGCCAAGATTCAACTTGTCTGCTGGATTCCTTAGATAGAGAACTTTATTAATTGGCTTTTATGTGAATGTTCCTGTAAAGTGCGCTGAGACAACTTTGTTGTGATTTGGCGCTATAGAAATAAACTGAATTGAAATGTCTCTGGGGGGAGTATTGTTGAAGAGATCTGATACACTGACAATCCATTTTGTACCCTGGTTTAGTTTCAGTGGTTCTGCCAAATGGAAGGAAATAAACTTCCAACAGAAATATGTGCAACGGGTCACTAGAAGACTTGAGACAATTCTTGCCAAGCGTGCTTTAACAAAATTATAAAAGACTACAGGGTGGCATGGTGGTGCAGTTGGTAGAGCTGCCGCCCCTCAGCGAGAAGGTCACCAGATTGAAGCCCGTTTTTTTGCACAAAATCGGAAATCAGATGACGCTTCGTTATCCGATTTTTTTTTTTTTTTGCTTTAATAAACTGAAAATGAAAAAACAAGTGTGTTTTTGTTTTTTCATTTATTGTTTCAAATTAAAAAACGAACTGCCTGAATGTACACGGACCCCTTTCTGGGTGGAGTTTGCATGTTCTCTCCGTGCTGCATGGGTTTTCTCCGGATACTCCAGTTTCCTCCCACAGACCAAAAACATGCATGTTAGACTGACTGGTAACTCTGAATTGGAGAGAGTGAATGTTCGTCTCTTTGTCTCTATGTGTCTCTGTGATGGACTGGAGACCTGTCCAGCATGTCCTTCACCTCTCACACAGGGACTGATGAACATGTGTCCCCCCAGTGACCCCCACAATTCGAAAAGGAAGAAGTGGGTAAAAGTTAATTGATGGATGGATAAAAGACTAGCTTGTAAAAGGTTGTACAGTCTTTTACCAGTACTGAATTTTAAAGCAACTCCAAATCCCTCTGGAAAAATGTATACAGACAGATGTAAAACATAAACATTTGAACTATTTTTACTTTTGAAACGCAACAAAATGTGTACTAGTTCAGGAGTCTGGATATTCTGTCAGCATTACATGATGTGGAGACAAGTTCAGTTAGTTTAAACAAATATAGCCCTGGATTTATACCAGTTGGCATGACAGCAGGTACTCCAAAATAGGAAAAAGCTCCATTTTCAAACTTCAGTGCCTCCTTCCCAAACTCCACCTCCACTCGACCCTGAAGAAATGAGAAAAACCCACAAAACACCCCGTGAGTTAAAGGAGTTAAAACGGGAAGATCAGGTTTGATGTCTGCTGGAGGCACGGTGTCTACCTGCAGGACTAAGACAAAGTAGTCTACTGGTTTGTTGCGTTGGAACAGGAAGTGCTGCAGCGCTCGCTTGTTCTTCTCATCAAACTTGAGCTCCTGAACAACGCTGGGATGTTTGATCAGCCTCAGCAAGATCTTTTCTGAGACGTGAGCAGGTTTAAAGGGTTCCACCTCTGGTCAAAAGAGGGGGGGAAGGAGAGCACAGAGAAAACCGCTGGAACTTCATTCAAGCATTTTAATCATCATGCAAAAATAAGGCACTGACAACAAACACAAACTCAAGAGGTGTACAGTAGTCCCTCGTTTATTCCGGGGATACCCTGAAGACCGGCGGTAAGTGAAAAACCGCAAAGTAGGAATTGTAGTACAAGTAATGGAATGGAATGGTAAATGGACTGTACTTATATAGCACCTTTCTATCTTATTTCAAGATACTCAAAGCTCTTTACAACAATCTGTGCCTCATTTACCCATTCATACAGCTCTACACTAGATCTGTACAAATTTAATTGAAAAAATCATATAAATAGACTAATCAGAGTCAGAGTCAGAGTCAGAGTTTCTTTATTGTCATTCGCACCTCATGTGGTACATGTGGTGGAGCGAAATTATGTACACGGGGTCCCAGTTACATCCAACAATAAAATGTATAAGAAAAACAGTAATAACATCTAAGATATGAACTAAGAAAAACATCAACTAAATATACACTAAGCACTCATAACATAAAACATTGAACATCAGCACAAACATGAACATGAGTCTGTGAGCAGAGCTTTATCACATTCAGACACTGATGGGACACACATTAGAGGCAATGAGGGGTTCAGTGTTTTGCCCAGGAACACTTCAGCATGTGACTGCTGGTGGATTCGAACCCCCAACTCTTGCATTGGAGGACGACTGCTTTAAACACTCAGCCACAGCCGCCCTTTAAACCCTTCCCACACTCTTGCAATATTCTAAACAATGTTTCTAAACTCCAAACGCTCTAGAAGAGACAGAATGTCATGATCTCAGCTCCCTGCCTCCTCTGCTCCCAGCCACCTGCAAGTGTTCTTGGTCACGCCCACTTTGCACGCAGAACAGCTGATCAGCTGCAGCAGGAAGTTTATCCTGCAGTATGGGCTGCATACAGGTGCAGCAGGTGTTAAATATTTTAAAATGATTTGTTTTAAATAAAAATTTCATACTGATCATGCGGCTCATCCATCAATCAGCCAATTGTGTGTCATGTCCAATCTTATTTTGAAAAACCGCGATAGAGCAGGTCTGCGATAAACGAACCATGAAGTAGTGAGTGACTAATGTACTTGTATAATTCTCATAAAGAATTTTCAAGACATTTCTTTACATTTCTAGTCATGTTTTTGAAGTAGTAAACAGTTAAACATACAACTTTACTTCCTGCAAATCAACTTTGCAGGATATACGAGGTAGAGTGTTTGGTAAGGATTTGTGATCAAATTAAAATATGCAAGAAATTATTATTCTGCGAAAATGTTAAATTAACAGCAAGGTAAGGGGACGGTACCTGTAGAGAGGAAACGATGTGTCGCCAGGAGTAGCTGAGGAGAAATCTTGACTTTCATCTCATTTTCTGACAGTTTGAAGATGGAAAAGTCTTGCTGCTTCCGTTCGTGGTGCGAAACCCGCCGCTTTGTGCGATTATCAGCTGAGACATGCACCAGCACACACAACATGAGTGTAAAAATCATACAGTCCTCGTTAGTACCATGCTGCAGACATGTATTGACCAGTTCAGCCAGCTGATCTCTGTATACAAACACCTGTTGGCTCCAGAATCAACACCAGTTCAACACCTCTAAGTAAGGGCTACCAAGCAAAAGACATCATGAAGACCAAGGAATTCTCCACAGAGGGCAGAGACAAACATATGGAGAAGTTTAGATCAGTGTTAAGGTATAGAATGAAATAACAAAAATCCTGAACATCCAACAAATATCCAATAAATCTAAAATAAATTTAAATAAATAATGTGACCCCAGCCAAGTGAGAGTCCCCAACCAAAATTCACAGAGTGGGTAAAGAGGGCCTTAATTGGAGAACTACCTCCTAAATGTTTGTCTGATGGAGTTGCAGCTTTTCTGCAGAGATAGATGTGTCCATAGGACCACCATAAACTGCACAGAGCTGGTCTTCAGGAAAAAAAAGAAAATAAGGCAGAACATTCAGGCTTTAACAAAAGGAGACATTTGAAACTCCCTAAACATGCGGAAGAAGGTGCTTTGTTCAAATGAGATTAAAAACTTTCTGACCATCAACAACAGCACCATGTCTGAGGCAGATCTACCAACTCTCATAATGTTGAGAAGACCATCTCTATAGAGATGCGTGGTGGTGGCAGCATCATGCTGTGGGGGGTGTTTTCCATTAGCAGGCATGGGGAAATTGTTCAGAGAACAAGAAGAGATGGACGTAGCAAAACACAGAGAAATCCTTGAGATGAACTTGTTGAAGTCTTCCAGAGATTACAGAATGGGATGGAGGTCTAGCTTCCAGCAGGACCATGACCCTAAACACTATGCTGAAGAACATCCACTGGTTTAAGGAAAACCAACCAGTTAAAGGTCCTAGGATGATCCAGTCAAAGCCAGTGATGAATAAGAATGCCAAAGGAGTTGAATACGATAGCAACTTACTGTATTTTCACAAACAATTTGACAAAATGTGGGGGGCCAAGATGGTGTAGAGGCACTGCAGATGTTTTGGGACCAGAAAGTCACAGGTTCAACTCCCGGCCATGCCCACTTGTCATGGTGTTCTTGAGTAAGACACCTAATCCCTAAGTGCTCCCCTGGAGCTTACATAGCTGCCCCCTGCTCCACCCGGGTGCATCTCACATGTGATGGGTTAAATGCAGAGAACTAAATTCATCATTGTATGAGAACATCCAATGATGACAACACTTTAAAATGTGTGTGTGTTTATATATACTTACTGTACAGGTCTGTCTCATCCAGGATCTCTGACTTGATGATTTCCTCGATGACATCTTCCAGTGTGACGATGCCCATCACCTCGTAGAACGGGTCACCTTCACCCTCGTTGTTTACACGCTGCACAATGGCGAGGTGGGACTTTCCTGAAACCATCAGGGAGTCTCAAATCAACACCACTGTTTCTAAAATGTAACGTAAATACTAGCAGGCAGAGAGGAAAACTGGAAGCAGATGTTTTTCATAAATGGCATGTAAAATCCCAATAAACTGTGACAGTGACTTATATCACATGACTTAGACAAAAATACAGTTTTTAAAGCTGCCAAATCATTTCAATATTAATAATTTACTATTTTGTCTTGCACAACTACAATTCAGACAATGTTGGGATCCATCCATCCATCCATCCAGCCAGCCAGCCTGCCAGCCAGCCATCCATCCATCCATCCATCCATCCATCCATCCATCCATCCATCCATCCATCCATCCATCCATCCATAATCTTTCGCTTGTTCTGGACTCAGGTCTCGGGGGCAGCAGCTTGAGCAGGGAGGTCCAGACATCTCTCTCCACAGCCTCTTCCAGCTCTTCTGGGAGGACTCCAAGTTGTTCCCAGACCAACTGAGAGACATAGTCTCTCCAGCATGTCCTAGGTCTTCCCTGGGGTCTCCTCCCAGTCGGACATGCCTGAAGCACCTCCCTAGGGAGGTGCCATGGGACCATCCTTACCAAATGCCTGAACCACCTAAACTGGCTCTTCTTGATGTGGAGGAGCAGTGGTTCTACTCCGAGTCTCTCCTAGATAACTGAACTTCTCACCCTGTCTCTGAGGGAGAGTCCAGCTCTGCAGAGGAAACTCATTTCAACCTCCTGTATCCACGATCTCATTCTTTCAGTCTCTACCCAGAGTTCATGACCAGAGGTGAGGGGAGGAACGTAGCCAACTGGTAAACAGAGAGCTTTGACTTACAGCTCAGCTCTCTCCTCACCACAATGGACCGGTACAGAGTCCACAATACTGCAGATGCTGCACCAATCCGTCTGTCAATCTCAAGCTCCATTCTTCCTTCACTCATGAACAAAACCCTGAGATACTTTAACTCCTCCACTTGAGGCAGAACCTCACCCTCACCCCAAAGAGAATAATCCACCCTTTTCCAGTGTCCCTTGCCCAGATATGGGTTACTGGGGCCCCACCCTGGAGCCAGGCCTGGGAGAGGGGCTCATTGGAGAGTGCCTGATGACTAGGTCTCTATCCATGGGGCTCGATTGAGCTTACCCCGAATGAGTAACATGGGTTTGTCTTCCTGTGGGCCCACCACCTGCAGGAGGGTCCATATAAGTCAGGTGCATGATGTCATGGGCAGTGGCAGAAAGTGGGGCCTTGCTGCTGTAACCCTGGCTTACCAAAGCTGGCTCTCGGGACAATGTTGGGATGTTGTGTGCAATTCAAATAAAAACCATTTGCCTTGATTTGCAACATCATAGCTTTTTCAAAAACAGTTTGACGAGCCACACTCAACAGTGATGGGAGAAGGGTCTGAGAGAAGTGACCGAGGATATGGTGGTCATTCTGAATGAGCTTCAGGGATTATGTATGGAGAGCTGGGATACGCAGATACACCGATCTGGGTTTTATGGCAGAGTAGCTCAACAGAACTTCTCAGACACAAACATCAGATTGATGAATGGACTGCACTTTTCTATCTTATCAAGCAAATCAAGCCAGATTGGTTGATTTATTCCTCTCTGGTCTGATAAAACAAAGACTGAACTTTTTGTTTTCAGATCTAAAAGTTCTGTTTGAAGATAGGCATCATTCATCACCTGTCCACCACCATCTCTACTGTGAAGCACGGTGGTGGCAGTGTTGTGATGAGAGGGTATTTTTTAGCAGCAAGACCTGGTAGATTGTTTAGGGTTAGAAAAAAAGATGAATGACGTGCAGAGATAACTTAAATGAAAACCTATTGCACAGGACTCGACCTCATTCTGGACTTCAGGCTCACTTTCCAACAATGACCCAACAGTGAAGACAACACAGAAGGGGCTGGGTAACAATTCTGTGAATGTCGTAGAGTGGTCCAACCACAGTCCTTACTTGAACTTTATTACGCATCTCTGAGAGACCTGAACATGGCTCCCCTGATGGTCCAGGTGGACTGAGTTTAAGATCTACAATAAAAAAACAGGAAATCCCACAGTCCAGGTGTGTAAACCTTGCTCTATCAAACTCAAGACTAACTTAAGGCTGGAAGTGCTGCCAAATGTCTCTGACCATATAAAGAGTCTGAAGATGTAAATATTATATTCCATCCATTGGTTTATTTTCCTTACCCACTTTTCTGTGCAGGATCATGAGAAACTGGCACTTTCTCCAGTGGTCATTGGATGACGAGTGAAGTTCACCCTAAACAGGGTGCTAGTGAATGAGACAGTTTGTCCACTTTCATACAAATTGTTTTAAAATACTCCTTTCACTTAGATATTCTGGGAAATAAAAATGATACTGCTGTAGTATCAGGCTGCAATGTTAACATGCAAAAAGTGAACAGAGTCTGAATACTTTCAAAATAAAACAATCAAGTAGTCAAATAAAACAGACCTTTTTCTGTTTTTGGTGCTGATTAGAATTCTGCAGCATCCTTTTCATTGTGTAAATGTCTCAAAGTGACTGGGAGTGACTCTGATGTGTAGTCAGAGACACAGCAGCAGGAGCTGAATGAAGTGGGTGGAACAGCAGAACAAGATGCACTGAATACAAATACACAGTCATTTACCTACAGTATATCCAGTGTCTACCAGAGCTATAGGTGTGTGCACAAACAGGGAACAGAGGGAATCTGTGGGCTGATCAGCAGCCTGGCTCCGAGTCTGCTCCTACCCTCACTGCCTGCCAAATACCGCCTCTCTCTCACACACACACACACACACACACACACACACACACACACA